ATGCCTGGCCCCGGCTGATTGGAGGCTGGCTCAGAGCTGGCCATGGTGCCAACCTGATCCCAGACTCTCAGTGGGGCCAGGCTTGTGTAGTAATTTGAAGGACCTGGGTCCGTTCTGAGGCTGAAAGAGTACAGAGGAGAGCAGGGTTCTCACCCCTGAGACCAACATAGGTTAGGACAAGGGGAAACAGAGGAATGCCAAGCCTCCAGGTTCTGGTGTGAGCTGGGGCAGCAGCAGTGATGTCCGAGACATGTGGTCACTGGTTTCTTAAGAGAGGACTTGGAGCAGTTATCATGGTGTCCACGAGCCTCAGCAAGACGTATCTGAGTTCCAGCTCCCCTGGTGAAAGGCTAGAGCAGCCAGAACTAACTCCGTGAATTCCCCCTGAGAATTCTTGGACATAAAATTGGGGAACAGCCCTAAAGAAAGACTTGTTTTCTTAGCAATATGGGCAGGCACATGCTCAAAAATCACTATATTTGGGGGTACCAATGTAGGGGACATGTTTTAAACTCCAGGCTGGGAGGCTGAGCAGACTGTTTACACATGTAAAGTGCCCGACACCAAGTAGGTGAATGTTAAGCCTAGGACCTTTCTCCTTATTCGCCCCCAGGAATGGGAGGGAAGAAACTTTGGATGCAGGATATATTTGACTTGGAACCGATTCTCCCTAACTCTTGAGTCTTGGCGGAACCTTCCAATGCTGGGTGGGGAAGAGGAGATGAATGGCAACATTTAAAAAACTTATATGTTAAAAATTAAATCTTTCAGAAGGTTTTGACCATGCCCGAAGGCGTCAGAGCATTTGCCTAGGGACATGAAAACATAGTACATGTTTAATGATGGCTATCTCATTTGCCCCTTCCTCCTAAAATGATTTATTCCTCACAATCACGCTCGAAAGCTGGTGCTGTTATCATCCCCATTGTACCTGTCAGGGCCCTATCAGAAAATGGGTGGTGTGCCCAAGAGGAGTGACCGAAGAAAGTGATGAAGGGACTGCTGACAAAAGTGATGATGAAGAAGCACCTAGGGCTATTCCCACCCATCAGTCGGAAAGGAAGGTTCCAGAATCCAGCAAGAGCTGATGCCATAAGAGAGGGTGACTCTAGAGGAGCTGAGGCCTAGAATAACACAGCCTCCTGAAGGGAAGGGAATAAGTAGCGAGACATCTTTCTCTCCACCCTCCCATACCCCACCAGTGCCTCTCACTGCAAGCCAGGTGGCCCGTTCCAGAAGGTAAGGTTTCCAGGGCACAAAGCAGAGTGCTGAAGGGTGGTGGGTGGGCCTAGAAGAGCATCAGAAAATAGTAAGCACACGGATTGACAGGTGAGGAAGCAGAGACAGGGATTGAGTGCCTTGCCCATGGTCGTAAGGCAAATCAGAGGTGGGGCAAAAACCAAACCCACATGCTCTTAAGCACTACACATGGTTTTAACGCTTCAATTTTTAAGAATAGTAATAAGAGATAAATTGGATAAGCCTAAGAAACGAACAAAGGAGAGAGAGGTCACAGGTCAAAGGATTCAGTCCCCAAGGCACCATCACGACGAGCAGAGAGGCCAATCTTAAAGCTGTATCATCACTATGAAAAGACACAGCATCCCAGGCTGACGCCCTCACTCACTTGTGCAACAAACATTTATTGAAGATTTACCTGGGCCGGGCACTGTGCTGGCTGCTAGATTTACCAAGAATGAGGGGGCCACAATCAAGGGCAGTAGCGGACAACTCTGGCTACATATGGGAGTCACTTGAGGGATGACTTTAAAAAATCACACATGCTGATAAAACACTGATGTCTGGGACTACACTTCAAGGATTCTGGTACAGTTGGTCAGAGTCAGGTCTTTTAATAGCTCTGCCCATTCGAATGTGCAGGCTTGAGAGACACTAGCAGGACATGACTCATGGGCTTAGTGTCAAAGGAGGAGGAGGAACCAGCTATGGGAGGCAAGCGGAGAGAAGGAAAGGCCCACAGACACAGGGAACAGATCTGATTATGGAGACCTCCCCATAGTTCAATATAACCAGAAGGTTATAGCAAATGGGGGTAATGCAGCGGGCGGAGGTCCTCCTACGCCGAACCAATCCTCTAGGTAGTGAGGAGTCAATCAAGGCTATTAGACAGGGGCAGACATGGTCACAACTAGGTTCACCCCAACTCCCTAGGCATCCCTCTTACCTCCTGAGATGGCCATCACTTCTACCTGTGGATGGGACTTCAGAAAGGCTTTGAAGAGGTGTGGGCTTTGCCTCCTCACCCAGTGAAACTGCAGCAGGAGGGAGGGCATATTTCTGAACTCTCCATCATGGGCAGCCTTAACATAGCATTCATCCAGAGGTATATGCCTTTTCAAAAAAACCCTTTTCTGGTACCTTAATTTCATTATGTGATCTTGCTATAACACTGAGAATTAATTCCTCAGGGAGCCAGTTGTGGTACATTGGGAGACTGATAGGAAAACTTGGAGGTGAAACAGACTACAGATCATGCCACAAGAAAGTGGTGGGACTGTTACCAAAGGCCTCATTCTATGTGCTGCTTCCGGGACAAATAACTAGACAATTCAATTGACCTGATCGCTATGCCTGCACATCTGTTTTTGGAAACTAGCTACACTGCAGAGAAAATTGTAGAAATAAAGATGGTTTTGGTTACGAGGTGGGACAATTGTTAAGAACTAGTCCATCCTTCACACATGGGAAAGGAATATCTTTCAAATAAATAATAATAATAAGATAGCGACAACAAATACTTCCTGAATACCTGCATATACAGCACGTGGTGCTTGGCGTGCACCGTTACAGCATCCGTGCAAGGTCTCCCAGTGGGCTGCTGAGTTACTGAGGCCTCGAGCACTTTGGACACCTGCCCAAGGTCATAGTAAGTGCAGTGATAGAACTAAGTTTTCATGACTTACCTCTCCCTCCACCCTTATATTCTAGCCAGGGGGTGAATCTGTGCTCCAGAAAGGATGACTGCTTGACAAGCTCATCACCTCTGTAAGAGGCATTGT